AAAATGTGAGCATTTTTAAGAACATTAAAATTTGGATCATTGTCAGAGATAGAAAGATGAACCTAACACAGGAAAGTGCAATTACAGTGTAATGCATTGTAAGAGATGATACTTTCAGACTTTGATGATATGACAAATAAATAAGGATTGATTTTTTTCACTTTGGAGATTTGTCGGTTAGAAAAACAATCTCCACTTTATTGCTTATGTTGTATTCAAGGTCAATGAGGTGCCAGCTAAGGGTGAAAAACTGAGGGGAAAGGGTGGGGGCCTTTACTGATGATTCTTATTTTCAGTAAGGTGGGCTATTCTTTCCACAGTCTAGCAATTGTCCTCTCCACTTTTGTGTTACTACAAAAGTCTGATATCTATTTTTGAAAAAAAATGATTTTTTTTCCACCTATTATTCTTACAATATAAGGATTTGGGGGTAGGAAGTAATCAATTGGCCAGTTTGTGAAGCACTTGAAATTTATATGTCTTAGTCACCCTTCCCGAGTCTCTTTTGGGGCCAGGTAAACATGTATCAACCTGATCCAGAATGAGTCTGTATCCATTTGTCGGCTCAAGTGGTGGTAATTTGTGGTTTAATTCATTGTTTATGGTCATTTCATCCATCAATACTCAGCGATATAGAATTCTGATATGTGTATTTATGAGCCATGCCGCGTATTAAGAGCTTTATTGATAAAAATGAAACATCTGAGACTGCATGGCCGAGAACCAGAGAGGGTTTCTCCTGGCTTTCCAGGCTATTGATTGGTCAATCAGCATTCTAGTAGGATGCAATTATGTTTTAAACTGTTACACAGGACCTAGAGGCATTGGGTTCTGAAGACATTATAGAGATCAGAAATACTTAGCTTTATTCTACATTTTGTGGAAGTGATAACAAAACAGTATTGGGACTGCTTTTGACAAGATAATAACTTTTTGATTTTCCCTTGTCATTTCTGTGAAAATTTAACTGACATCTCATGCAAGTGGATGGGAAAAGATGTGATGAAATGATATAAAAAATTCAACATTTATAGGACAGGCAGCATGTATTTTGATTGAATCCTGTAAAGTGAATTTCTTGGAATGTTCCCAATGCATGCATTGACTTTGTGATAATCGACAGTATATTTTAAGGAATCGAGACTCTGTGGCTATTTCCATGACGTTTTGTTTTTGCACGTTTCAGAACTTGAATGGCCGGATTGTTAACCATAATGGTGAACAAGTGGGTGAGTGGTCATCGCTTCCTGCCTTTGCCAGTGACATAAGAAATGCAGGACATGGAAAAGGAAGCCCGACTAACAGTAATCGTAACAGCGCGGCCAGCAGCGACAGTGGACGGGGATATAGTACAGGACATTTAGACCACGCCAACGCTAACGTTAAGGTACGTAAACAACAACAACTCACTTAACATTAAACACTGTAAAAGATGTCCAGATACAGGGTTCTGGTAAGTTAGATATGTATTACAGAAAATACCTGGAAAGTTTTTTTTAAATTCAATTAAAATTTCCAGTGTGTGTAATTATGTCATTAAGTTTCAAGGGGGGTGGTGTAAATCCACTTTTTAGTCCAGTACTATTTAGGATATTTGTTCTCCCAATCAGGCAAGGGGTTAAATAATTATCTTATGATATATATTGTCTCAATTATTCAGAAAAAAAATCAATATATTCTGGACTGTGTATAGGAAAAAAAATTGTTCTTTATAAATACTTCCCACTGAGATTTTCAGATTTAAACTCTCAAGACCTGACCGACAAAGTTAGGTTGTATTAATTCCTTGATTTAGCAGACCATATTGACATTCAATAAAAATGACCACTAATTACACAAGGGCTGTACTTTGTGTGACCCCGCTGCATTTCATTTCCGGAAATATGCATAGCATTTCCGACATTTTTTTATTTCATTTCCGACATTTTTTGTTTTCATTTCCGACATAATTTTGTTTTCATTTCCGGAATTTACCTGTGCGGTAATTCAATGTTTTCTAAGTGAAGATGGAATTTTAAAAGTATTTATTACAAAATATTGATGAAAAATTAAATAAATAAAAAAAAAACATCAACACATTTAAGCATTCTTGAGCAATAAGTCTAGGTAAAAGAGTTCAATGAGCATAAACTTTTTCACCACATCTAATATGCATTAAATTAAATGTCAGTGACAGCACCACACTTATGTACAAGTCATTGATAGATTTACAAAACTCAGCTATTGTATTTCAATGATTTATTTATGATTTTTTCTTTAAATTTATCATAAGTAAAGTCTTAAGATCTGTTACTAAAAGTACTACATATGTTTTTGAAAAATGTCGGAAATGAAAACAAAAAAATGTCGGAAATGAAAAATAAAAAATGTCGGAAATTACCAAAAATTCCGGAAATGAAATGCAGCCTGTGACCCATCACCTCAAAGAGTCTCCATTTGAATTTAATTATTCATTTAACCAGAGCTCTTGATTAAAATTGGAACAATTGATCATATTGAATTCATTAATTGATTTCCCAATACTTTGTCTAACTAAGTGGGAATGGAATCAAGGTTATTTCTCAAGGATGCTTGGGTTTCAGAGCAGTGAAAACCAAAGTCAACATCAGAATCTGGCATTAAAGACCTAAGAGTTCCCCCTTTTATGTGTCAATCCCTTCCAATATAAACATTGATGAAGTACTCTGTCAACCTTGGGTCATTAACAGTAGTCTCTAATTGACAAAGTCTGATTACAATGAAAAATCTGATATAAAAGTAAAATGATGGAAAATAATCAATAGTTCAAAATTTATCGTGCTTTGGCATTATAACACAGGAAGTCCTGAAGGTATGCTGGGACATTTGCACCTGGAAAATCTCTGACAAGAAAAAAAAAGAACTTAATTTCTATACAATTATCATATTTTTCTGACAAATGATATCATAAGCTTGCAGAGTGAGGGAAAAAATCAATTATGCTATCAGCAAAGAGAAATGGGCAGCCTTTGGGACAGTGGTGAAGTTATAGTTTGTCATTCTGAGTAATTGTTTAGATAATTCTGTATGGAACTGTTTGTTCAGTTCAGAAATGATCAAGGATCAGCTTTTTGGTAACTGCATAGTTGGCACATGTGTTTGTCATGACAGAACAATGCAGGAAGAACTAATCTTTTCCTTCTGTAATCAGTATTCCTAAATCACCTTGCTGCTGTAGAGTTCTCTAAAATTCATCTCCCTAGTGTGGAAAAGTTTCCATTTTCCTTTAAGGTAAGGTTTGCGTCTCCCTCCAACTCATATTTTTTTTAATATGCACACATGCTGTATATCAATTTATTCAGGGAGATTAGCTTCATCATTTAATATGATTTTCAAAGATATTGCCCGTCCCATTTTTTTAGTAAAAGACGCCAAATTTAACGTATTTCATATTTCGCCTCGAATATTATTTTCATTGAAAAAATTGATTTATTTTATTAATTATCAAACTTTTATAATTAAAATGACCTGAATTAGTACAATTCATGCTTCTATTATTTAAACTTCTAATTTTCCGTTATCAAAAATGTGAAAATTTGGGTAAAAAAGGAGATTTTTCAATTTTCCTTGATTAAGTGAAACCGTTGCCATGGCAACAAAAATATAAAAATCAATGTTTTACATATCTACCGATTCCATCAAAATCCATGAAGTTATTAATTTGATCATTTTCATTAATTTGAACTAAAAAAATATGTATGTCCCCAATATTATTTCCATGGAAACAGGGGCTATATTATGGGTTCAGAACATAAAAATCGGCTTTTTCTACACTTTTAAAGACAACATTGATATCACCTTGTCATGGTGAATATTAAAGACTAAATGTTATTTTGATATTGTTTTTAGGCATAAATTGGCCAAAAATATTCAAAATAAAACTCCCCCTGTGCTACATGATGGTCTAAAAATTTATTCCATGGAAGAACTTTAGTATGGCAATACTATGGCAATCTTAACATCTGAATACATGTATTCTGATGAAATTGTCCATGAATTATACTGCAACACCTTTAGAAGTACATGTATATGTATATAAACATACTTCAGAACATGTTGCAACTAAACCAATTAAAAGCCTATGAATTTGACCTCATGCTGATTTAGTTATTCCAACATGTAGTAACTTCTAGACATCTTTGTAGCAAAATATCTTTATTCAGTTATGGCTGTCATTATACATGTATGCCATTTTTGAGTGAAATATTGTAAGCATTGCATCCACGAAGCTGCTGTTTTTATAATTAAATGATTTCTTTACTTCGAAGAGTAGAAATGCTATCTTTAAAGTAATGTTTGTTTGCCCTCTCTTGACTCAGGGTAAAATTATTGGGTCGGTTGGTGAGAAAATCTTCAACAAAATTTTTTTAAGGGGGATAAGAGGAATAAAAAGAAAAAAAATACGGCCCTTCATTGAAAAAAAGTTTTCAGTCTGGTCATTTTAGTCAGTCGGTCTGGAGAGGCTGACAACCAAACACTTATTTAAAGATGGCCTATTTCTACACTTCATGGACATTAGCTCAATCATTGGATTAGGTGGTCTGAGAATCTAAATTGAAATATCAGACAGAACAAAATAAAGATGAATTCTAAGTGACATCAATTCATACTTTAATGAGTTTACAGAGTACTTCTGATTTCAGAGAAAAGGCAAATTCTGCAAAATGACATAACACTGTCATAGATATTTGTCAAGAACAGGGAAAAAGAAACAATGCTACAGTGATAGATATATCTCCTTGATATCCATGAAATAATAATTTAAATAATACAAAATTTTCTCCTTTTTAAAATCAAAATACAGAAAAAAATTAAAAGATTATAAATGTAAACAATTTTAAAATAAACTATATGTGTTTGTGAAAGATTTAAATTTTAGTAGATTACTAAACTGGTCTTATCATTCCTACTAAATTAACAACCTCACAATTTCCAAGTGTCATGATTTAAATTGATACAGTAGATATAATTATACATGTTCACTGCAGCTTTATGTCATCAGTTTTCAGAAATACTTATTTGAGCATATTAGGTCCTGGTAAGAACAAAATTTAATGAATGAAAATATTAATCTTAATTGTTCTTGTATTAATTTCCTTGCAATTCTACAAACCCTTTTAAGAAACTTGTTACATGTAAGTATAGACAAAAGCAACCTTCAATTAATACCTATGATGTATACATTTATTTTACTGAAAACAAATTCAAAGATGGACGAACAGTGCATGCACTGCAATCATCACATACACATATTTTCTAAATATATGGAAAACAGCATGTTTATACTAGATAGGATGTTGTTAAACATTAAATTTACTTCTATAATCTATAGACATATAAATATATGCATTGGGTATAACAAGTCAGAACTTCTTCTCCAAATCTCCATTGATTTTGCCATGTCTGGTTCAACATCTTAGCTTGATCCATCCAACTTTCTGTAATATTCTTGAGTTGATATGGGATGACCTCTACTTTGATTGATGGCACAAATCTTTTAAGGAAACACTGAAGTACTTTTTTTTTTGGTTCTTATCTATTCCAATCAATGACCCATGATCTGAAATCATATGTATTCATTTTTACAATAACATTTAAGGAATTGCATTTTTGGAACTGCATAAGGAATTGCACTGAGTTTCATTCACTCAATGAAATGAATAAAGACTTTCCAATATAATCAATGAAGAATCAATATGAAATTATTGTAAAATTTACAGATTGAATAAGTGAAATGCAAATGCTTGATCAAGAAAATTAAAGTTCTTGTCATGCACAATCTGTATCTCTTTTTTATTAATTAGAAAATGAGATATTAATTAAAATCAAACCTCATTTAACAATTGAATACCTGTTCCAATAATGTTACAAATATTAGGCCCAAAAAGCAAGGATTTTATTCTTCATAATTTCTTGAATGAATGCATTTTTATTTTTTGGCAGTGTTGGGATATTAGTCACATCCTGACATCCTTGTACCGTTTATTCATCGTTTTTAAACTCGTAGTCAGTGGATCACTTATAACTTTCAGTAAAATGAATAGTTAAATAATTACCTGATGAAAATACTATCAACAATCAAACTGTCAACATCATCATTGGACTTGGTCAAATGCACCGTGACTTTTCTTCCCTGTTCGGACTGCATATAGCATAATACTTTACAGGATACTCTCACGTCTTTTCTTTTTTCTTTCCCATTCTCACTTAAAATTTTAGTGTAGTGGTGAAGCGAGAAACACACAACAGCACAATGCGTTAATGACAATGACTTTCTTCTGATCGGAATGGTCGTGCAACTTGCAACGTTCCGTATCGAAAATAAACAAGTCCTCCTTTATTGGTTCATCCACATGCATCACGCTAATCTCAAATCTTCTAAGATTCCTATGCTTTGGTTTGTTATAAGACTTTCTCCTGAAAACGTCCTTTGTTTTTAGTCCTAACAATAAGTGACAACAAACATCAAGTATCACTGTATGACAGAGGAAATTCGTTACCGAGATGCTTAGCATCGCTAGTTTAAATTCGCCTGTTTCAAACGCTTTGGTGATTCGCAAGAGTTATCTCCCTGTTAACGCAAACCTTACCTTAAATGAGTTTTCTCTTGATATAGATTTTTTTATTTTTTATGTCGCCACTAAAAGCGATTTCTCCTGTATCTATGTAGTGAGGTTTTAGCTTAATTCAGACAGAAAGTAGTTTTATCCTGGAAATGGAAGAGAACTTAAGATTCCTCAAGTAATTGTATATCGAGACTTTCCCCAGGCACCAGGCAAATAGAGCATTTCTGCTGACTGATCAGATTCAAATTTGTTTCATTTTAAATGTGAATTCTATGTGAAAAAAAACTCTTTTGTCAACAATTTCATTTTAAAAAAAAGACTATCGAATAATTTTTCACTCAAAAGGAAGCATCATTGTTTAGTTTAAGAAAAGGTGATTAGCTTGTTAATTGTTTGGAGATAGAGACGAAGTAAGGACCTTCGCTAACGACAGATAGAAAACATGACAAGCTGGCATGGAAACAGTTTGGGTAATAATGAGTTTCTGGTTTTGTGTATGTAAATGAGTTGTGTCTGGTAAATACTGATATATCTAATTCCTGAATTCCAGAAAGATGGTGTGAGAGAGAAGACCAAAAAAAAAAAACATTGATTACTGATACAAGATGTTACTTTACAAAATAACCTCAAATTGATATCAAAACTTTGTCAGTACATGTGGAAATATTCAAAAGATATAGTCTTGGTCACATAAATCGATCATTGAAATTCTTAATCTAAGTAACAGAATCAGTAATTTGCACAATAATATTCATTTTCTTTGCCTAACAAATTGTTACATTACAAAAATCAAGCCTTGTTAAGCTTTTTCCAGGTCTGTTTAACTGTGATATAATGTACATGAAAATTAGCATATAAGTAAAGGTAAAAGAATGAGATTTTTTTGGAAATTCCTTGAGTATCTTGTTATAGTAATGACCATCTTCTTTTAGTATTGGTTTTGTTTATATCCCATACTGAATCATTTTCTTGAAAACATTATCTTACTATCCCCTAGTTGTTATCAGATCGTGAATACATAAACTCCAGTACCTTCACTACCATACTTTTTACCACACTTTTGGGATATGCACAAATTCACTTGCTAAGATAGAATGTTGGGTTATCTTGCTGATTTTTATGGCTTTGATTCTATTTTGATTACATTTACAGCAATTGACTGAACATTATTAGAACATGGTAGAATCTTTGGAGATTTTTATTTTTAATCTTATATTTTTCTGTGTCTGTACAATGAAACATTAGACAGCAGTTGGTAGGCATCCAAATTACAAATCTCCAGATATGATTTGATTTATAATAAAGCAAAAACATGAAATAATGCAGCTACCAGTTAATATCTGGTTTGTTTTTGATCTTCCTTTGAGTTTCTAAATATCTAGTTGAAGTTGATTTCGGTGATTTAGGTTAATGATCTATATCTATGTTGTTGTTTTTTTTCAGCCACCACATAACTTTGCCAATGTCCAGATAAACAACAACAATCGACTGTCCAGTCAGAGTTACGAGTCGGGGGTGTCGTCGCGACAGAGTTATCACAGCACGTCCAGTTCCAGCGTGGGCAGTCTCGACCGACTGGAGGAATCGGGACAAATGAGCACCATCAACGTCGCCGAACTGTTCAGGGCAGGCATGCCTGTATGTATACTTATCTCATATATGAGTATGGTATATGCAATATTGATTGAGTGTCTTGTATAGCCAACTTTCAATTGAATAAATATTTTATGCTTGATTATTCAGAAGTTGACATGATCAAATTTTAACAATATTTTAATTAAAGGAATAGAAAAATTCAAAATTTTTTCAGAAATATGTGGAATATATTTTAGATACTTAGTTAATTGAATGGTCCTAGTTTTTATCTGTCCTGTATTTGGAGTACATCTCTGTCTTACAGGACCATGAGGTGATGCGAGTCTGGCTGAGGGACCTCCGCTTTGAGGAATATTGTATCTTATTTGTCCAGGCAGGATATGACATGCCTACCATCTCCCACATGACACCTCAGGTATGATTATAATAAACCAAGCCATATTTAATTGATATCTATATTGAATAACAAACCTTATTTACCAGCAAAACTTGCAAAAGAGTCCAAAATTGTGTAAAAAATAATATTTCCCCTTATGCAAATTATCCAATGTCTCAACTATCGTTGATATCCGTGGCATGGCATACCTAATAAACTAGAGAGTGATTCCAAGAATTTCTACTCTGAAATTAATTACTCTGATTGCAAGAATTTTACACTTATTATTGAAGTTTTCTTGCTTGGTCTTGTGTGACATTGAAGTTGAAATAATGATTTCATTCTGGTAAAACAGAAGCAGAAACAAGATAACTGGTGTTTTGTCAGAGTGACCTTCAGAGATTGTTTAAGTAAATTGGTTTAGTTGTGGAATTTGGTCAGTCTTGAGAACTGTCAGTTTGAACGGTCATCTCTGTAACTCTCATCTTTGTCAGATATTTGTATGTAAATTGGTGGAATCTTATCAGTTCTCCGGTGTCAGGCTAAGTTATCTTCACACACACTGAATGAAGAGTTTATAAATACATATTGAATGAAGAGTTTATAAGTATTAGACATTATGATAGACTTCAATAAATGTTGCAGTCTTGTATAAATTGAGAAGCAGAGTAAATTCAAGTTTTGGGTTTAAATTGTTTAGGATTTCATTGAACAGAACATGAAAAACTTTGAATGATGAAATCAGTGATCAACTCCCACATAAGGGCAGCAGTGTGTGGTCTTTAATTTCTTTCAACTATTGTTTTATATCCTTATTTAAATCTGGTGGAGATTCATTATTCGTTTGAATTACTCCTGGATGGCATGCCTAATTCAATTTTCACCTACGTGTGACAAAATTAATCTGCTATGGAGTCCTTTCCTGCCATTGAGTGGTGAAGATTATCTTAAAGCTATATTTCTATGTTTAGCCTAACAATTCCTCTTCTTCTCTTACTAGCATATATTTCAAGCAGTTTGTTAATGATGCCAGTTAATGTTGATCCCAAAGCCAGAAAGAATCAAAGTACTGAAAGTACTCATGGGAGTTGAACATTGTTATCTGAAAGATCTCACAGGAAGTATAGGAACATCTTCATGCATTCAGATTCAAGTCAGCTAGAACTGATTTGTTAGAGATACAAAACGAAACATTAAAAATGATTTCTATTGCATTTAAAGCTATTAGCCAAGATCATGGGACTGCTCTTAAATTAGCTGCAGAATTGTAACTCTCCGAAAAAAAAAAAGATTTTGACAGACCGGAGAGCTACAGTGCCATCCATTGAAAAAACTGTATATTTATTGCGCACGAACAGTTAAGTTTAGTTCTGGATTAATTCTTTCTAATTCTTACCTCAACAATTTAACCAAACCAAACAAACCCCCATCACCAAAAAATTAATTTTTTCAACTCGAAAATACTATTTTTGTTCTTAGGTTTTAAACTTCTTTCAGTACCATTTATTACTAAAACTCAAACACTACCCTTATATTTCTGAAACATTTTAATAAAAACGCCCCCTACTCTCTTTCGAATGTGTACAAGATATTTGGTCCCAAGAAACAAACAAACACTCTTTATATTCGATGTTACCATCACCAGACACTAGATTGTCATTTTTCTTCCTCTTTGGGTATGAATGTTTATTTTCGGACACAATAATTATTTTTTATAGAAATCCATGCTTATCTATTTTATCAAATGTATCTATCTTTATATCTTAATCATCAAGTTTTGTTATTCCATAATTTTAAATTTCATTTCAAGTAGTATCTATATAGAAGTAAGTATGTCTGAATACTTTACATTTTGTTTGTTTTACGTTCGATAATTTTTCAATCATATTGAAACACTTAGCTACATGTAAGTACAAATTTTTACCTATACACGGCACTCAAAACCATTGAGTAGTGAGGGATCGTTTTGTGCAAGCACATACTGCGACATGGGATTTCGGTTTATATGTTCTCATCAAAAGAGTTTATCTCCAAATGCTTCCCACAGGATTCGAACCTGCGACGTAAGGATCAATTAACACCTTACGTTGAATCTAGAGCAAGCTATTTCAACAACTGCGCCACGCGAGTGAGACTTAAAGTTTGTGATTTTGATTTGATTCAAATGTAATTAAAAATCAGACATAGTTTACCGAGCTACTACAAGAAAAAAAATACTTGTAATCATGAGGAACGATCTTTCTCACAGGTCGATCATTGGGATTATCATACCATTGTGTCCGTGTATACGCATGTATTGATTAATCTTAACTGTTTTAATTATATAATAAAATCAAATGATACATTTTATAACGTAGTACTGCAAGGTAATACACACACATTTTTCAAGTTCAGATTTGGTGTTGTACACGTGACCAACTGAATGCTGATAAATTCATGAAATTAAGGATAAAAAATTAATGTCATTTGAAATTGTGTGATCGAATATCAACAAACTTTAATGCTATTATTTTTTCCTTTTACCAAGGTAAAAAAAAAATGAGTTGCATGTACATGTGTATCTGGTCTGACAAAAATTTTCCAGTCTAACAGATCATTTTACTTGTCAGAGCAAATAAATATTTTCCGCAGTGTTTTTTTTTTTAAAGAAACGTTCTGTCTCTTTATTGCTGAAACAAATTGAAAGAAGTTGGGTTAAACCTTAGCGTTCCTTTCCTTACATCTTTGTTTATGTCTCTATATTTCGACAATCGCGTCATTGTCAAACCAGTTAGACCAGTTGTTGCTCCTTGGATGACCTAGCATTTTTTGTAATGGAGCGTAGTGGAGTCAGCCGAGGATTGCCGAATGATAAATGACGGAAAACTGGGACTTTTTTTTCATACGGAAATCAAAATTTATGTGTCATTTCTCAAGAAAGATGACAAATATATGCTATTCAAATTAAGTTAAATAAAATTCTATTTCATTTACTTTCAAATCATTTATGAAAATTAGATTAATTCAGAAAAATGAGATGGACTATTTTTATTGCGGAAGTTTCTTCAAGTTTATATAGACTGATACAAGTTTGTATTGAATATCACAGGGGAGTAAATTGGGCGACACAGAAACACAACGACGGCCTCTATATAATTCATTGTAAAATTACTGCGCTAGAAACCGCGTGACAGCCTAGGGAGTCTGAACATAGTTCAACTCCCAAAAATCAGAGTACCAGTGATTTGAAATTAATATAAAAATTGCTAAAACATAATTTGTATTAGAAAAGGCGTTTATGAGCGGGCCACCTACAAGGTGTGATGAAGTAGAGTAATTAGTGTGTGTTTCTGTAACTACAGGTGTACCATATCTTCTGTCTTGTATTGTGATGTTACAAATGAGTCTGCTTTGTGTTTTTATTACCCCATGTTGAGTGGTGCTTTTTTCTTCCATCTCATTTGAGTGCTAAGAACACAAATTACAACACTGTAGCTAGGTCAGGCTAAAATGCATTTCTTTCTCTTAATGTTTCAGGTTGTAGTTGTGGTTTATCTTGTTAAAAGTAATTAACAATATTTGTTTTTCATTACATAGGCTAAACACATAAAAAAAATTCCACAATATTAGTAGAGTGATTATTTTCTGAATTATAACCAGATTGTAACTACACTTTTTGTCACACTTCCTTATCAGAACTCACCCCAATCCCACCCCCTGTTCCAAGCACTTGTTTCGGAAATAAATTTTAAGCCATAGTATAATAATTTTATAACTATAGGTTAAAATTTATTTCCGAATAAGTGCCTGTGCCCTGTTCTCATTTTGGAAAAAACCATAGTGATTACTTTTTGAACAAAAGAAAAAAATCATTATTGGGTAAATTACAAAGATGGGGCAAAATGAATTTTAACACCCCACCCCCATGTTTCATATCAGCTTATTGTGATTTTTTCCATTACAGGATTTATCTGCTATAGGGATTACCAAGCCCGGACACAGGAAACGACTGAAGGCAGAAATAGCTCGGCTGAATATTCATGATGGGATCCCGGATTTCAAACCCGTAATTTACATGATTTATATCATTATTCATAGAACCTTGAATACAGCTGGTAAAGTAGAACTCATTGATAACTGTAATTAACTAGGGTGTTCTGCCGCATTGAACCTTCATCTAAGTTCAAAGGAGGGAGTGTGTATCTTAGAGAAGGCTATATCAAAATGTCTTGTTGGTATAAACCTGAATTTGTTTTTTCAAAAAATCATATTAGATTTGTTCATTCAGATGTGCTGTAGTCTTGTGAAAAAACATAAAAAATGTCAATTTCAAGTGAATTTGCATCTATATGATCCATGATTAAATGAGCTTTGTACTGTTAGAAAAGCCAGTCATGAGTTTTGCTTCTATTTTTAGAGGAATAATAATATTAAAATTTTATGAACACTCACAGAGGAGAAATTTAGAAATAGACTTAAATATTAAAATAAAATCTAAACTAGATTTTTCACTTGATTAGTCTTGATCCTCTATTTCTATTTATACACAAGACTTGCTGACCTTGACCTTTTGATTTTAGGTCGATATGATGGAGTGGCTCCACATGCTAGGATTAGAACAGTATTACAACACCCTGTCACAGCAGGGCTACACTGACCTTGACAAGGTCACGGACATAACCTGGGAGGACCTGGAGGAAATAGGCATCCAGAAACTAGGTCAGTAGACCATTCATAGTCTAGTTAATTTACAGAAATTAGGTCAGTAGACCATTCATAATCTAGTAAATTTACAAATGCAGTATAATTTAAACAACTTTTACATTAGAGCTTAGCAATATATCAGTACATGTGTAACCTCTTCATTGTGTTTTCTTTTACTGAACTTTTTGTTTTTCTTTAGGTCATCAAAAGAAAATAACTTTGGCTATAGATCGTCTGAAAAGAATCAATGCCAACAGTAAACGACTTTCTTCAATGGACAGGAGTGGACACAGTGAAATAATAGACCCACCCCCCCCCCGGGGCCACACCCGAAGGTCAGGGGAGGATTACATCCACGAGATTCCATCCTCACCATTTAAAACAAAGAAATCTTTCTCTGGGGACAATTTAAACAGTGACCGTCTCTCACAAAAGAGTGACCGATTCTCACAGCATAGTGACAATAGTCTGGAGTTTGTGTCTCACAGTCCAAACACCAGCTATCAGCCGGACGTCGTGGCCATTCAGGTTAAAAGACACGGATCTCAATCAGAATCTCCGAAGGACATGCCTGGTGCTAGGATTTCATCGTTTCAGGGACCGACTTCTGTAAGGGAGGATCGAGACAGCACCCCCACAGCTGAAGAGGAGATGGAACAGCAGCCTGCTCCCATTGTTGCCCCCTCGGTGCCAAAAGCTGTGATCAAACCAAAGCCAGTAGCCAAGATCATTGCCAAAACAAAGCGAAGCAGCAAAGAGACATCGCCAGAGATTATAGACATTGAGAAATACGAGGCACAGAAAAATCACGAAATGGGGATGAGTCCTGGAAAAGCCTTCCTTCTCAATGCAGCGATGCTGAAGAAGACGGGACAATCTGATCACATCTATGATCAACCGAGAATGCAGAACTCTCCTAAATCTCCAAAGTCTCCCACACATTCTTCGATGTCCCATCCGTTCCCTGCCAGCACAACAGCACCGGTTTTTGTCTCAGTCTCAAATCAGAATGGTTCACAACAGCCACAGAATTCACCAACTAGTCGGAAAGTTCCCCCTCCTCCACCTCCCAAACGCACTAATTCAATCTCCAACAGGCAAGATACAAACTCCTCCAGGTATGCTGGAAGTATTCCCAAGTCTGCCTTACAGAATAATGATCAAAACGCTCAGAAGACTCCAGCAATGCCTACTGGGAATTCTTCTCAACAAACTCCCAGAAGGGGGTCCATAGAAGATGGTCAGAAACAACTTGCTTTTGCTTCTTGTGTTCAAAGTCTCTCAGTCAAATTTGGCAGTAAACGAGTGGAGAAGAGTTCAGAGGATGTGAACAGTTCTGATGGAGAAGATTTCCCCCCTCCCCCTCCTCCAATAGCCATGGACATTATCACTCCGAAAATTCATAACTATGGAATCCCCAGCAAGGATGATAAAACACCGGGTGAATTAAGGGGAATGGGAAAATTAGGGCAGCCCCCCACCCCCACACCTAATGATAAACCAAACTCGTTCACTTATAAAGCTCCTGTTCTACAAACAGTCAAAGAGAACCCATCACCTCCCGTAGTCTCCATGGTGCCAAACTTTACCAAGAATCCCCCTGTTCTTAATCATGTGACTACCACTGCCCAATCAAAAGACCAAGTTCAAACCTCTCCCAGAGTTCAACATGTTTCTCATGAACTCAAAAGAAAAGACTCGACATCGAGTTCCGATTCTGTAGTGTCAGCCTCCAGTGTAGACTCGAACACCTTGCCTTTCGCCAATGAGAATGTAGGAACAATAAAACAACGTGCACCTCCAGCCAAGCCCTCCATAGTGCCAATCAACGAGAGTCCAGCTCAGGGTAACGGACAGGGATTCCCCAACCATCAACGAGTCTTACCCAGTGTTCCACAGAAACCGAGCATCCCAGCTCACCTCAAGACACCAAACAAAGGTAAGGAACCATAACTCTTACAATAAGGAACCATAACTCCTGTTGTACTATAAGAAACCATTACTCATGATTTAGGATGTTCTGCACTAAAATATATTAGCATGTAGTTTCATTAGCCAATTTTGAAATCATTAATATAAACAAGTGGCATACTGTAAAAATTCTGCATTCATTGATAATCTTTTTACACACAGATAAGGTCTGTGTGACGCAATTTTATATATAGATTTCTATCTATCAATTTCTAATCCCTTTCCTCGTAAAAGCTGTATTTTATGGTTGCAGCATGATGTTTTTGCAGATATTCTAGAGATAGAAGAATTTAAATTCAAGGCTGATGAGTACACATCACGTTATCTAATCTCTCAGAATTAATGCTTTGGCAGTCGTAGATTGGACAGATATCCACGAATCTGCTTAATATCTCTCTCGTTGCTTCCTTTGGTACTTGGTGCTTTTGCCAGATTCTCACAATTTTCTGTACAAATGCTTTTTAATTCAGGAACTTAGTTGATGAAAAAAATTGCCTAAACACGGTACATGGCTCAAGCCTCAACATTTTGGCATTTTGGGTGGAAGGCTGGAAGCATTAAATAAATGTCTAACAGGAAGCAACAGAATAGAATATCAACAAATATAGGTTTAAATTCATTCTAGTGACTTGGTCAGGGAAGGGGGGATTTTGGTTAAAGATCTAATATAGCTTAATGAGTAATGACAGTCTTGAAATCATTTGATACATGTAATCATAGACCTAAAGTGTAAGATCTCAGATAGATTGTATATTTTTGCTATTAAAGGAACGGAAGATCTATATTTATAAAACTCAAGTGCTCACAGGTTTTAATAATCATATATCTGTTTTAATTGTTGTTAAAAAATCAAATATTGATGACATACCCCTAAGCATTCTTTGAAACACAAAAAAATCCCCAGAATATTAAACTGAAAATTGGAACAGATTCTGGCAACAAAAATCTTACTGATAATCAGGACAATGACAATTCCAAACTAATCTGAAAATTAAAATACAGCTGATTTAGGGGCGAGTACCTGTATATATGGTATAATGGTAGATTCAACTAATGTACTCCGAGTTTGTGTAACTAATCACTGCTTACCTGGTTCTAGAATTCAGACATTAGGTAGTAATGTAAGGTTCATTTTGGCAGGGGGACAGATATAGGAAAAATTCTATAAATAACTACGGTAAATAGGTGATAATGTACCACTATATGTATTTCAGGACCAAGACCCTCAGTGGCTATGAAGCCTAATGCCTCACCACCAGTGCCAACCAAACCAAAAATGTAAGTTTGATTTCATCAGAAAACTGATGTTGAATTTTTTACCTTAAGTTTCTGAAGTCCGTTGGGTTTTCATTTGGTAACTAGTTTCAGCAAACACCTAATCAAATTTCATATTTAAACTAGAAAATTGAGACATGTATCTGTTACTCAGTCTCGGAAGTGAAATTCTTCATAGTATTTTTAAGGAAAATGCTATAGAATAACTTTATAAGGTCCAGTTTTGAAATTAAACTGATTTGTTTTTCAGTGGTAAGAAGAAGGATGAAGATGTGTTGAATGATATAGACAATATGTTACAAGGCCTGACAGAGGAATTAGACGCAATGTTGGAGGAGGAGCTAGAAATCGACGAGTGAATCTGTCACGGTTCATTGAACAAAGTGGACAGGAAAGAAAACAAGGATTTCATTTCGAACATCTTATTTATTAACAAGTTATAAAAAGATATGGGGCTCTTCAAAAACTATATATTATGCTCTCATTATAAGTCATCTGGAATTTCATTTCAAACATCATCTCATCACTACCAGAATGTCTTCTTTAATTTCATTGGCTGGACATGGTGAGGCTTGTTTAAAATAGCCAATCACAAAGCTTCATTGGAGGAGGTGTGAATTTCATCATGTATTTTCCTTAGGGAAACAGACTTAATACTTATGTGATGTCATTCATAAGGAGAAGTTTAAAAACAAATAATTTCAAAGTCAGGAAGCTGTTTATATTGTATAGAGCTAAACATCCCCGTGCTTCTGCGAGTGCTTTGAACCATTGCATCATGTCTTAATTTAAAATGTTCTATTTTAAGTTGTAAACCTAGTCAGTTATGTCAATGAGGAAATGTATTTATTGTGCCTGTGATATCTTCTTGTATATTAAGTGTTTATACTGTGCTAAAGATCTTTGAATATTAGTGTCAATGTACATGCCTTAATTTGCCACATAAGTATGACTTTGTTTCATGTTCCATAGAAATTTAGGTCTTTTCTGCAGTTTGGTTATTTTTTAAATGCATTTTGAATGACAAATTTTGTCCTTCAAGTATTTCTTTCAGCAGTGTAGTGTCAGGTTTAATCATATGTATACTTTCATATGGGAGACAAATAATGAACTATGCAGTATTATCTATGTACAGTTAATTGTTACACATCTACCGGCATTTCACTGAATGTCTAAGGCATATTTACTCTGGGAAATAATGCTATTGCAGTAAATGGCACCATCTAAGATCTGTTTATTCCTGTCATGTTATTTTTTTCTAAAAAATGATTTTCAGAAGGACTTATAAAAGGGTTAAGTTTCATTTAATCCTATAAAATATTATCTTTCTGTATTTTGTGATCTCTCAATGTTCAGCCATTTTGCAATAAGTTCTGACACTGTTTGATTGTATGGTTGTGACATAATCTTTGGCATAATAATGTTAGTTATGATCTTGGAATGCACAATGGTTATATTCAGTTCTTATTGAGAATAGTGGTGGTAATTTAGCTATAAGGAAATTAGAGTGTGTAGTCGCTATAACGGTCATTCTAGCCTTATTTTCGTACACCAATTCTTTTGAAACATTTTCAGTTAGTGTAACAGTTACTGCATATTCAACATAATTCAGGGAACATGGATTTTATGAGCTACTTAAGCTGAACATTATAAGTTGAGCACCACTGGTCAGTTTTTAAAAGAGATCATCAGCAATAAATATTTTAAGGGAATTATGTCTAAAAATGACTTCAAAGACACCAGCTTTTGTCACACAACAAAATAGGTTTTATATGAAGAATATAATCATTTCATACAAGAATTAAATAGACAAGTCTGAACTGAATTATTGGTTTTTATTTCGTTACCTTTGTTGTTTACTAAATAAAAAAACTTAAATATTGTTTTTATCAATATTTTCTATTTATACATATATTGAAATGTTACCTTTTCTGTACTATTTCAAGACTACAATTCAGATCCTCTTTGGACATGACATTAGACAGATATTCCTATTTATATAGATTTTTAACTCACTTCCTACATTCATATTTACTATGCTGTCATTATTTAAGTGCCTGAGAGTATTTTATTATGTTAAGGGGATATAATTCTGGTAGTTTTAAAGATAAGGGAGATAAATGCCAAAATTGTAATAATCCCAATATTCAGCACCTGAGAGAATGCTGTGAAGCTATCAGGAGCATTTGGAGTTTGTTATTTTGTGTTATGTTATTGTTACTGTCTTAATACAAAGCTGTACCAAACATACAGCTCATCAAAGATGTATACAAATAAAATAAATGTCTCAGAATTTACAGTGTTGTTTATCTGTAATGGGAATTTTATCTAGAAATGTCCACTTTGAAAATTGGGGACATTGGGAGCAATTTTCTTTATCAATACATTCCTTTCTTTTATACGTCATAATTAAAATGACAACACTTTATGACTATATATGTATATAGTTTTATTTATCAGGGCTATAGGGAAATTCTGCAGCTTAACTGGGGAATGGGTGGGGGTTGAGGGATTTTTGGGTCACAATATAAGACAAGAGGCCCATGGGCCACATCGCTCACCTGAGTAACTTGGGAAATGCAAATCTTTTTAAAAGATTTGTTCTATATATATTTCTATGTAAAACTTGGATTCCCCACTGTGGCCCCGCCCTACGCCCGAGGGTCATGATTTTAACAAATTAATATCTACACTACTCAAGGATGCTTCCACATAAGTTTCAGCTTTCCTGGCCTTGTAGTTCTTGAAAAGAAGATTTTTAAAAATTTGTTCAATAAATTTCTATGTAAAACTTGGATTCCCTATTGTGGCCCCGCCCTACCCCCGGGGGTCATGATTTTTACAATTTAATATTTACACTACCCAAGGATGCTCCCACATAAATTTCAGCTTTCCTGGCCAAGTGGTTCTTGAGAAGAAGATTTTTAAAGATTTGTTCTATATATTTCTATGTAAAACTTGGATTCCCTATTGTGGCCCCGCCCTAACCTCGGGGGTCATGATTTTAACAATTTAATATCTACACTACTCAAGGATGCTTCCACATAAGTTTCAGCTTTCCTGGCCTTGTAGTTCTTGAAAAGAAGATTTTTAAAAATTTGTTCAATAAATTTCTATGTAAAACTTGGATTCCCTATTGTGGCCCCGCCCTACCCCCGGGGGTCATGATTTTTACAATTTAATATTTACACTACCCAAGGATACTCCCACATAAATTTCAGCTTTCATGGCCAAGTGGTTCTTGAGAAGAAGATTTTTAAAGATTTGTTCTATATATTTCTATGTAAAACTTGGATTCCCTATTGTGGCCCCGCCCTAACCTCGGGGGTAATGATTTTAACAATTTTTAAATATCTACACTACCAAAGGATGCTCCCACATAAGTTTCAGCTTTCCTGGCCTAGTGGTTCTTGAGAAGAAGATTTTTAAAGATTTGTTCTATATATTTCTATAAAAAACTTGGATTCCCTATTGTGGCCCCACCCTACCCCCGGGGGTCATGTTTTTTACAATTTAATATCTACACTACCCAAGGATGCTCCCACATACGTTTCAGCTTTCCTGGCCCAGTGGTTCTTGAGAAGAAGATTTTTAAAGATTTATTCTATATATTTCTATGTAAAACTTGGATTCCCTATTGTGGCCCCGCCCTACCCCCGGGGGTCATGATTTTAACAATTTAATATTTACACTACCCCAGGATGCTTCCACATAAATTTCAGCTTTTCTGGCCCAGTGGTTCTTGAGAAGAAGATTTTTTAATGAACCCACCCTATTTTCGTATTTTCTTGATTATCTCCCCTTGGAAGGGGTCTTGGCCCTTGATTTTAACAATTTAAATTCCCCTTTACCCAAGGATGCTTTGGACTAAGTTTGGTTAAAATTGGCCCAGTGGTTCTTGAGAAGAAGTTAAAAATGTGAAAAGTTTACAGACGGACGGACGGACGGACAGCTATACAGTTGAGAGGTACATTGTGCATTTTACGGAAGGTGCGGGGTTATAATTTTGCTTTGTGGGGTTATTAATAGTACAGTGGTGACTTGAGAGGTTTCATTAGGAATTCAAACAAATGGTATATTGTGGGGTTAAAGGTCTATATTTGTGGGGTTAAAGATCTATATTTGTGGGGTTAAAGATCTATATTTGTGGGGTTAAAAATAAATTATTTAATATCAAGTCAACTTTACGGGCAACTAATTATAAGTACTTAAAATTGTTACTGTTTATCTGAATAACGGATATAGCAATAACATTTTTCAACTACTGCCTAGCAGTAACAATGCAAAAAAATGTTTTTATTTGAGGATAACTGTTGCATCAAAGTAAATTAACCCATCATGTTTTCACATGAAGATGATAGACAAGAATATCCCAGAAAGTGTTAAACAAACAACCCAAATATGCTATATAGATATAACAGACGACACTAACCCCATAAATTATAAGACAAACAACCCCAGTATGTACTCTTATAAAGATAATAGACAACACTAACCCCATTAAGTGTTTGGACAATAACCCCACTATGTATTCT